ATTTTGCTGGGAATGAAGAGCTCTCTCAAAGGCTTCTCTCTTTGCACTGTGCCAGCATAAATGACATAACAGAAGTCTTCCAACTCTACTTTTCCACGTATCTGATGAATATTAAACTGGCTATAACAGACTTCACAAACAAATGAAACACAGGTAGAAATTTTATGATCCCTACATATTATAGCCATAGTATTTATCTTCAAATGTAAATAAAGTCTACTTGTGAATAAATGATTAACTTGTGATTTTCTCAACTTTATAGTTAGAGCGCAGGACATTTCCAAAGGGTATTATAAATGCTCAATCAGAAGTTCCCAAAGTGGGCGATACCTCCCTCTAGGGGGCAGTAGTAGCCTCCAGTGCAATTGGGGAGCATGAATAAAAATAAGGGAGGGGAACAGAAGCATAAAGAAAGAAGAGAAGAAAGTTTTGAAAAACCATTCGTACACGTTTCATCTGTTGTGTAACAGAGTTAAAGTCATAGAGATACATTATTGTCCAAATAAACACACAAAATGCAAGTTATAACTGATTGGTGGTCCAGTCCGCTGACAGGTCTTTACAAGTAAGTGTTGGCAGGTGAGCATGTCTCGCATTGTCAGTAAGTCCAGCATTCATGGACAGGAATATGTGCGTGTAATGACTTGTTTACAACACGATGCTATACAGTTACATGACGAAATATTGTGTCATCAAAATTTCAATGCAGGAAAAAAACCACAAATTTAAAATACATTATTAAATTTAAATTTAATTGAGTTTTCATTCTAACTTATCTGAATACTTCTAATGTAGCTAGCCTATACAGACTCTGGGGGTCCTCATCCCAACTCAAACTCACACTGGCGAGAAGGATCCCCAGAGGGTAGCTAACTACATCTCCCCATCATGGTTCTGGAGTCTTCTATAATTTATTTAATAAATAAATTTAATTTAATTTAAGATGCATCTTTTTAAAAAAAGTTCTATTTTTTGAAATGACACAACTTTCAAAAAAAAACAACAGCAACATTAAAGAGTTAAAGAAAGTAGATTTCCAGGGGGGTGCTGAGTAATTTTTTTAAATTTAAATTTTTTAAAAGGGGGTGGTAGGCCAAATAAGTTTGGTGACCTTTGTTCTAAATGGAAAATAGGCCAAAGGCAGTCCAGGTTCCAGGACTCCTCACCATGGGCCAGAGTCCCAGAATATCCTGTCCTCATTTGACACAAAAAACCAGTTATTGAATTACAAAAGTAAGGAATACAATTGGTGTACACCAAAATTCTGTCAACTTCAGGTCTTCGTTTAATAAATACCAAATTTGTTCGACTAGGGCTACTAGGTGGAGCAGTGGATAGAGTGCCGAGCCAGAAGTCAGGACTCATCTTCTTGAATTCAAATCTGGTCTCAGACACTTCCTAGCTGTGTGACCCTGGGCAAGTCACTTCACCTTGTTTGCTTGGTTGTTTGTTCCTCATCTGTAAAATGGGCTGGAGAAGGAAATGGCAAGCCACTCCAGCATTTTTGCCAAGAAAACCCCAAATGTGATCACAGTTAGACACAACTGAAAAGACTAAACAACAACAACAAAAATCTGTTCACTAGTTAAGCAATTCCCTAAATTTGAAACTGTCGAGAATACCTGTACATTTAAATAATTTCCCTGGGCAACTTTCCACTTTTTATCCAAAATTCAAATAAAGATCATCCCATAAGCTTGTGATAAAACCTGGAAATTAAATTCAAGTCAACAAACATTTATCAGCCACACATTATTTACAATATACATTTCTAGGCAGTAGTAAAACAAAGATGAAACAAAGTTCTAGCTGCTGCCATCAGGACCTGATAGTCCAGTGCGGGGGACCGGATGGGTAGAGAATTTTTGCTTTCAAGTAGAATTACATGAAAATGAAAAAGATTAAAGTTTTAAATTTTTATCTTCTATTTTAGGATTAATCCAATCAAGTAGCTCAGACAAAAGCATTTAAGTAGGAAGCCTAAGGATAGGGACTAGGCCTGTAATTATGCCAGGCTGCCTCTCTTAATTACCAAAGTCCATCAAAATTTACTCTAGCTTCACTCTCCATGCAGACTGAAACCATTGTCAATCACCTGTATATTAGGCTCTATAAAAGTAAACTCATTTTGTGCAAAAAAGGTTTACTTATCATTTGAACTGTCTTTTGAAATGGCATATGAACATACGTGCATACATACATTTGTCATTGAAATGCTTCTAATGGGAATGCTTTCTGTGTGGTTAACAATATACATACAAACTGTGAGGCACAGATTTTAAACTTTCAAATACATGAAAAGAAATGGAGGTGTTGATATTAGAAAAAGAAAGAAAGAAATGCTGTCCCAGACTTTTATTCTTTCATTCCATTTTCTCTACCCACAGTTAGCATGGGCAATTTACAATGAGCAATTTGACAGATTCTCAATGCACGTGAAAATGGACCACGGGAGAGCTAGGATCTAGTACACATTTCCAAAGCTTCCAAAAGACTCAAGTAGAAAAAAGGTCACTAACTTACCATTATTTAAAGATAATGATTAACCAAACAGTAATACATTTTTACTCCTTGTTTCCATTCTAACATATCTAACATTTACGCTTCCTTGTGCCACAAAAGTCATCAAATCTTACAGAAGTAGCAATCTACTGTATTGTTATTGTAGGACGCATGAAAATATTTAAGCTTGATCATCTATCCCCCAAGTAACAGCAAATCCAATTCCTATAATGCAAATAAATCATTCTTAATCCAGTAACTGCTGAAATAAATATACCATAATAGAAAACATCACCAAAAACACCAACACCAAGTTTCAACACTGAAAATCTACTAAGAGAAATACACTGGAGCCTTGCTTTATTGCTATCCTAGGGGACTATGCCACAGGCTCATCTTCCAGGCCAAGCTGCCCTTTGGTATTTGCAGGCAAGTAAGTAAACCCCCCTGGATTATGATGGGAAGCTCCCACCTCACACTGAATTCTGCCTTTCAACAAAGAATGTTTTATGGAGGTTCTAGCCTATTTTAAAAGTAACAAATAATTACTCAGTCAATTATATGTAATAAGGTACTAGCCTAAACATCTTCAGGGTGAGTAACATTCCTGGGGTTCCACTGAAGGGCACTCATGTGAAACATAAAAATACTTGTCAAAATATCATAATAACTGGATCATAAAGGGAATGATATGATAAAAGAGTTAAGACATTGCATTTTAATGGTTATAATACTGGAACACTGTCAAATTTCTGTATAAAAAATGGCCCCCTAGCCATTTCTTACACAAACTCATAGGTTGTCCAAGGGAGGCAGTGATTGGTTACTTCACCGAGCTGTCTTCTAAGTAAACTTTCTTAAAAAGTAACTACTTCAAGATATTTCAAACGATAAACTGAACACACTTTAATTCCTTAAATCTTACAGCCACCAGGAGACATACTTCCTGAAGAGCACCAATTTGCTGCTGGAAAAATGTAAAGACTATCCTTTATTCTAAAGCCAAAATTCAATGATAAATGGCACGGCTACTCCCCAACTGGGGAAAAAATCAGAACCGCTCCTTAATCAGCTCTTAGTACAACATTGTTTGGTTTCACAGGTTTTATCCAGTTAGAGAATGAAACTTGGACATCCTTTTTCCCCCTTCACTCACCCCATCCTCTCCCCCACCAAACTTAGAACTCTTTAAAATACCCAGGCCAAAATTTTAAATCAAATTGCATATGTATAAGAGGTAACAAGTGCAAATAATAAGAAGAAGAAAATAAGGTAAAGTATGGTTACCTCAAAAGTAACCAGCCAGAGTTTTCTGTGGGGAAAAAGGCCAAAATTAGGCAAATTTTTGAGCTCTCTCTGCTGTCACCTTGAAATTAGCCACCTCTAAATTAAAGGAGATTTTTACTCTAAACTCATGAGAGCCTTCCAGCTGTGACTTTTTCCTCGTGGCCCATGGCTGCAATGGCAACCTAGGGCCCAGAAACAGGCCACCTCCACAGCACAATGCACGAACGTGAATATGCTCAAATGGTGGCCTTGAACACCATAACACAGCAAACTGCTGTCCTCTATTTTAAATTACTTATGGAGATTGCTGCTGTTATGCAGATGTATTGTGAAGCCAGGAAGGATGTGATAACAAGTCTGAAAGGTAAGCTGTAAACCTGAGGTTTTGGCAGTTATATTAAAATATTTCCCTAGTTCTCAAATACCTCACTGTTTTATGTATTCTCTTTTCACTATAACATGAAATAACATATGACTCAAGTAATAATACAGTTTAAAAAATGATTAAATTTTGCAAAATTAAATAGTATAAATAAATCACACGTATTATTTTTTGACAACATGAAATAACTAAAAAATAGTGTGCAATAAAATATCGTGAGGTACATTTCAATCCTCACATATCACTGGCCTGACAGAAAACTAGGAAAATATCGGCAAAGTTCTAATGAACACATCCATACGTAGAGAAATTCCAAAAAGGTTTAAGACTCTAAGAGTCATCAATTACACAGGCACTTCCTATGTAAACAGTCTCCAGCACAACTGAAACTGTGTTGGCACCAACCTAGCAGACTAAAAGAATGGGAATAGAAGCCTTTTTTGCCAACTCTTTGTTCTGTGTAGGTATTATACTTCCTAAAGACTGGAGAATTTGTGAAGCATAAAAATTATATTTGAGTGTAATTAAGAACTCAAATATAAGACTATTTGGAATTAGTAAAAATGGATTCATTTATCTGATATATACCATTATGTTGCGACTTCAAAATATGCAAGCCACATTTTCAATTTATCAATAATCTAGTTTTTCCAAAAAAATAATCAAGCATTATCAATTGACTTAGTAAAAAGAATTTGAGTACATAGAAACTGTTTTGTGAATCTCATTCTGAGAGGAGCTTAATTACTTAAGCTTTGATTTGACTTCAATGTTATCTACATAATAAAACAAAGACACATTCTAGACAAAAACTTTTTGATTGGCCATTTTCATTCAGAAAGTTGAGGCGCTTAAAATGAGTACAAATAAATAAAACTAGATTTTGTTTTTGCATAATTGTTTCCAGTCATGTCAAGCTGCTGACAGTTGAGACGCCTTAGTAGTAGGCAGCTCCAGAAGGGCCTGAACTGTGACACCAACTTTCACCAGGCCTCTTTCTTCCAAAATATGGTGTGGCAAGCAGAGTCTTTCCTGGAAAACAAAAAGGACAAGACCTGATCTCTAGGCTGTGGCTTTTGAATAGCACAGTAGAACTCCACTAACTAGACAAGAGAGCAGTATGAATTAGTGAGTGACAGGTCTCAGTAAAAGGATATTTGTTTAAGATCAATTTACCTATACAAACACGGACTAGGTGAACAGTTTTATCTAACAGACATTATTAAGAGACTGGCTTTAATAAATGATGAGCAAGGATGGATAAATGATGATCAATAAACCTTGATAAATAGGCACTGTGAAGTGTTGGAGCTGTTTATTCTCTTAAATAACTTAAGTATTTCCTTTGCAAATCTTTGACCTTGAAATATGAAACTAGAACTTACAAAAGGTAAATTTCGGCCCAGTCCAACCAAGTCAAGAATAGCCCTTTGTCATTCAACATACTGAGAGTACTTTGTTAAATAAAATATTATTCCATTTTCTTGTTTTCAAAGTAAGAATAGCTTTCAGTAAGAATAGCTACGGAAGAATTCTGTGCTTTCAAAATAAACTGTGTGACCTTAGTTTTAAAATGAAAATGAAAGCATCAAAATAAAAATGACAAAGAAGGGCAATGTAAAGAATAAAACAGCGAGTTAGAAAAATGCTCTCTCAGTTCAGAAAATAAGAAATACAACTTTAAAAAAATATGAATCTTACACATAAACAAGTAGTAGGTAATAAAGAGAAAAAACAAAACTTTCTTGCTACTACTTCTAGAATTTTAAGTGTATCATATATGGGACATAATAGAAAAAGATTTTTAAAGTTAAAAATTAAGGGGAACAATATGGGTCAGTGGGATTTGGGGCAAGAAGATCTGAGTACAAATTCCAATTCTGTCACTTATGCCCTCTGTGACCGTGGGCAAACCACTCTCTGGGTCTCAGCTTCCCCACCTGTAAAATGCGGAGATCTCAGCCTCTGAAGTCCTCTCCACCTCTAGAGTTATTAGCCAATGATACTATGATAATAACTTATAACTTAAATTTATATTTCTTTTCTTAGAAAGGGGGACTCTTTCATATTCAATTCCATTGAAGAGGAAACTCCGCCAAAGCCCTCATTTTCTGTAACCTTCAATGCCCCAAGTCCATTACAGCCTTCATTTAGCTTCTCACATTCAGTCAACTGCACTTATGTTTACAAGAACAATTTGACAGTGTCATATTTTCATTATACTTTAGATCCTGCTTTAATTAAGAAGGGTTCTGCTTTAAATCCTTCTTTGCTAGTAGGGAAGACACTGTGAAAGGTGAGCAGAATCACTGCTAACTGTACAGTCTGACTGGTCCAGACATTGTCAAAAGCTGCTACTAAAGTTTTCAAGAAATAAGGAAAACAAACTAGATAATATATTAGATATGATTGTTCACCATGAACTTGAATCCCTAGCCCAGACTTCCTCCATGGGCCTACAAAGGGTTAGAAAACAAGGTCTCCCAATGAGTAAAATGACTGGAGGCCCAAGTGCTCACGGCTGCCAGGCCTGTAAGAACTGTGGTCTCTATCACCAGGTGTTCCGCTCCATACTCTGCAATTCAACAGCTTCTAAAATTAGTCAGAAAAAGCCCAATAAGATTCTCTTAAACAGCAGCCAAAATTCAATTCAGGAATCAAGGAAAGTCATCAAGGGAAGGTTATCTACACATAACCTTCAGGCCTTGAAGAAGCTATGATTTCCTACGTGGGGTACACCTTGCAATGACACAGACCACAAGCACTCTGAGCCTTAGTGGACTGTCTTCAAAAGTTTCTGTGGCAGAAATAAATGTGTTACCTTGTGGCCACTCCTTTGATGAGGAAGGATCCTCTCCAGATCTAGCTGGCTTAATCCTCAAATACACAATCTGCTGCCAGGCCCTTCCAGCCTGGTAGGATACCCCACACAAGGGATTATGATCTGCCTTTGAGTACTATGGGCACCTCTACACCATGAGGAGGACTTTAGTGAACGTGCACGGAAGGATTTTAGTGAGAACATTTAAAACAAATTCTAATTACCTGGGAGACACCCAATTTTTTACAAGCATCAAGAAAGTTTTCTACATTTCTTCGACATTTTGCCATGCTTAGCTTAGGCTGTAAAGAGAAGAATTTCATGAGTCATCAAATTTTCATTAGCTAGAGGGCATCATGAACTTATATAATAGAAAAGAGCTTGACTAGAAACTAAATATATTCAAGTGTATTATTCAGAGCAATGGACTTCTAAATTTACAACTGACTTGATAAACCTCACTCTGTAAGTAAGGGACTTACCACTGCTGGTGATGGTACATGAATGCTAGCTACTGAACGTGGCCTTATATGATTGGCTAAATGGCAAAGAACTACTCCATCCATTAATGCTGCTCCAATATCATCAGGCAAAATTACTTTTAACCTCGATTCAAGATTCTAGTGAAAAAAAACAAGAGGATGAGTTAGAAATAGTTCTTATCTTTAAAAACAACTGGTATACTTATCCTACAATTTATTATACAATCAACCTATTTTTAAGAGCACTCCTTCTTTGAAAGCAAAAGTAACCTCATTTTCCCAATCAATAATTGAAATCTGACTCCATTTCTGCACAGCAAATCAAAACTAGCAATTTAACTTACATTACGAAGTTGTCGTATTTGCTCCCTTTCCTCCCTTAAATGTTCCATCTTTCTTCTCATTGTAAATCCAGGATCTGCTGTCCCATATTCCTGGCGAGACGAACGGCTGAAAGCTACGAGAACCAGACATTTGCTCTCTTTTAACGTAGGCAGGGAAAATGGTGAAACAGAAAAACACCCACCCAACACTGGGGAAAGAGGCATGATAAAAGGGAATCTGTGCAAAATTAAGTGATGTGTGTTTCAATTTCCTTACCACTACATGAAAACGTATTAAAACACATTAATACAACAGAGTAAAAACCTACTCATCTGCATAACTGAAAACGACAGCACTAGAACAAGCATGCAAATAGTTTTGGATACCCGCATGTGTTCTGATCTGAAAATAAGTTGCTAGAATTTTACTACCTGGCTTTAAAAAAAAATGATGACTGAATATAATTCAGACTTTCATTCTCTTTACAGCAAAAGGAAATTATTCTTGAAGGTCAGTATGCTTATTCAGGAATAAGGACTGTGATTCAATACCTTGCCAAGGCACCTGGATGCACTTTCTTTTGGGCTTGCCAAATACAAAAAGATCTCCTTTTGAAAGCCAACATAATGGCATGCTGTAATTTTAAACAGGCTTGGGTCTGCTGGCAGGAGTGTTTGTGTTAAGAGCAGTCCCAGTAGGATAAATAAGCCTCCAGTATCTCAAAGACAAAAAACTAAAGTGTTTGGGAGCTTGATGGTGAAGAGCTCGAAGAAAGAAATAGAGAATAGGAACTGGAAAGACAAAGTTGAGAGAAAATTCTTTTTTAGGAGGGGAGAAAGAAATTACATATAGCCAATAGCTATGGACTGAGTGCCATTTCATTTGGAAACTTGCGTTTACATATAACCTTGGACACACTGAATTTAGAGAACAGATTTTACCTGATCTAGGCTTCAAGCCAAATGGACCGTGTGAATAACTGTCAGTTCTGTCAAAATCCTACAAATGAGAACAAACCGATATAACCTATTGGCTTTCACAATGACCAAGCTAGTCATTCACATGTGCACCTTTCTTTGGTCGTACTCATTCTCCCCCTAGATAATTCCCCTCTATATAGGAGAGATTTGCGCTTCAAATCAAGTGGATAAAGCATTTAACAATCACTATTTATTTTCTGACTGACTAAACACTTAATTCTTTGCTATTGTCTCACCACACACACAACGTGAAAAAAGGGCAGAAACAATAATCGTGAAAGATAGGAAATAAGTAGACGGGATTTGAGGAAATAAGGGTGTGATTAAAGTCTCAGAAAAATCAAGTCAGTTCTGCATCGAGGCTCAACAATTCAACAGAAAAATTAATTGGTCAGCAACATTTATTGATTACCTACTAGATGAAGAATTTATAATAGGATGGCAGATTATACTCAGAAAATCCTTAAATTCTCACTAGTAGGACCTGCAGGGCAAATCTGAACTTGTTCTCAGGCTTATGGGTGAACTTTATGTTTAAATCCCTTCTCTTTACATCTCATTTGATCATCATAACAACTCCATGAGGCAGGCAGAGCACATATAAGTATCTCCATTTTATGGCCAAAACTGAAGCACTCCAAATTCTCCACTGACTCTCAAAAATATTCAGCATGGAGGCCAGCCACCAAAGTCTTCCCCATGTTACTGTGCTTCTCCATTAGCTCAGATAATCAATGCTAAAGATGTATATGCAGTAATAAATACAGAAGGAATGATGTGGAATCCCAGACATGTTATTTCTGCAATCTAAATCTAAAACTTTTCTGAAAATTATATGTGTATCTTATTTCTCCATACATATTTACCAAATGATTTCCCCAGTTGCATTTAAAATCCTTAGTAAAATATTAAGACATAAAGCAACTAAGTAAATATAACAGAAAGAAAAAGTCTGCCTCTTTTAAGTAAAAAGAAAAAAACCACCCTCTCATGCCCACACATTTAAATATTATACTCAGCTACTGAAAAAAAAATGAATGAATGTACCACCATCCAGTACATGTGGACCCATCCCCCAGGAAATAAGAGCGTTCTGGCCAAGCCCTGACCTCTCTAGATAACTGCAAAATCAGAAAAGAATTCGAGACTTTGAGCTGGGAAGGCACTCTGAGGCCATCCAGCCCGAAATCTCTCATTTTATAGAAAAGTATACTCAAGCACAGAGAGGGAAAGGGATTTGGCCAAGGTCACACAGAGATTAGCTGAGCTGGGACTTGAATCCAGTGTTCTCCTCACCATGCCATCTTCTCAACTCTCTACATACGGTCAGGCACAGCTTTACAATGCTAAAACAAGTCCAAGTGGGAAGCAACCACTAGAATGTCAGTTTCTCACAAATTGTAACAGCTATCCTTAAAATTCATAGTTTATTTTCAAACAATAAAGAGCCGAGAAAAGTCATCTAGATGGTACATTATTTTTTCGAGTAAATACGTATCCAAGTTCTTTTTAAGTAATTACTCTCAATAATAATGCATGGATACCAAACTCAAAGACTGAACTCAGTAAAAGAGAATGTGCAGAGAAAAGGTAATGTAATAATAACTTTTAATGTATTTGCCAAACAGGATGTGTATTACTTCCCATGGACAAAAAAAAAAAAACCAGTGGTAACCAATGACATTGTACAAAAGATGAGGATGAAGTGGAGACGTCAGGAGGAGAAGGAGGAGCCCTGTTCACACGCACAGACGCACACGCACGCACGCAAAAACAGAACATGTACCTCAGATGATACTGGAGACTGTGGGGACACATTAGCATTATCACTGTCTTGCTAAAATAAGAGATAAAAAATATGAAACAGAAGAAATTAAAACATGTGAATGATGATCTAGGGAGACATACAAGAAACTCAAAATTGCTTCAATCAACTAAGTATGACACTGAACTTTCTCATCTACTACAGGTTATATGTGGGAGACCATTTATAAAGACCATATATGAAAACTTTTTAAAATGTACCTGTGGAAAAATATTCCTTTGCTAGGATTACTTCCTGATGACAGAAGACATTGAAATGTCCCATTCCTCCTGGGACATCTATGGCAGGCCCTCCAATAACCAGGGCTTGTACTGAAATAATTACTCTGACTTGTCTAAAATGATGTTAAGTTCCCTCCATGTGGGGCCAGTCCTATAACAAGTCAATTCAGTATTGAGCTGAACTTTGCTGCTCACGAAGAACAGAAGACCTGGCCTACAGGTAAAACCCTCAGTCTTAAAAGACGCTGTCAAACATGTGGAGTCCTGCATCCCAGGGAGGCCTTATCCCTCCCAGGCAACTCAGGTCCATCGACCCCTCCCCCAGCCATGACTGGTCGCTTTGTGCAACATCACCCATTGTTGGTCCCACTAAAAATTTCCCAGAGAGGTCATGGGGAGAAATAGGGTGCTGAGGCTGGAGAAGAAAAATGAGAATCCTGGCCCAATTCTGAACTTTGTCCATCTCTGGTCCTACTTCCTAAACACAAAGGACTTTGGGGCAGCAATGTCAGCATTCTCTGTCACATGAGCTATCTGTTCGTGTCCCTCCCTCCCACCCCCAGTCACCATTTATGAATCTAAACTATTGATTATATGAGTTAATTCACAAGTCTGTGGCTTTAATTACCTTGCAGTTCTAGCCAATGAGAATGCTGGGAATAGTCCAACTTAAGATTTGTCAATTCTCAGGATTCATAAATAAACTTATCTTTGATTTAGCAATAAGAACCTGAGATTTAAATCGTGGTCTATGAAACTAAGATAAAAGAAGATAAGGCCAAAATGCACAATGAACATATGAAGGCAACAAAAAACAAATGTTGATAAAACTACTGACAATATGACGACTCTACAGTTTGGGGCTAATGTATACTATAGAAGTTACGTGATAAAATAATCAGAGTGCCATCGATGTTGAAAGTGTTTATTATAGACTAAAAAACCACAGAGTGCAGCGTCTAAGCGAGACAGCCTACTCAGTATTACCTGGCTTCAAGTGTTGCCAACACATACTTGGCTGTGTGACCTTTCAGTGAAGGCAACTCTGAGAGACTCTAAGTCAGGGGTTCTTTACATTTTCGATGTCATGGACCCCTTAGGCAATCTGGTGAAGTCCATGCACCTCTGCTCAGAATAACGGGTTTTCAAAATATTCATAAGTGAAGGAAATGCTGAATTTCAGTAAGAAGTTAGTGAAAATTAAAATGTAGGCGGAAGATGGTGGCGGCTGTGAAGACCAGGGACACTGACCTTCCCATAGCTTTCTGGGCCGAGGCCTCAGGGCCTCCTGGGCCTCTCTGTGGCTGCCAGGTGTTATGGTGTGAAGATATTGCCCTCAGGGGAGAAGATTACTCTCCCAGGCCAGGTTTATGAAGAAGAACATTACAAGAGGATTTGCTTTGTTGGTTGCCAGAAAGGGGTAAATGAAAAGTTTGCAATTGACTTGATAGTAGAGCGAGCAGTGACTAAGGTGGAAAGTTGAGTGATCTCATGTGATGGTGGAGGAGGAGCTCTGGGTCATCCAAAGGCATACAGAAATTTGGACAAAGAGACTAAAACTGGGACTTGTGGGTATTGTGGACTTCAGGTTAAACACCACCACCACCACTGAAAGCAGTTCTCTTCTTTGGGCCTTGCACAATTCTCTGCATGTGAGGATTTCAATATTTTTAAAAAATGCTTATTTAAGAACCACAACATAAGCTTTGTATTAAAAATATTTTATGAATAAAATATAATTATTGAGTATAATTTAAGTTTAAGGTGACTTTTTTCCCCATGGAATACAGTTCTTGAACTGCATTATTTTTTATGGATGTATAGCATTCAGTTAATCTTTTAACACACTGGCTTGCTCTCGTTCAAGAAAAATTAAACCTATCAGCAAATGCTAAAATGAAATTTCATTACTTTAAAAAAATTAAAATGTAATTTTTCCATCCAAGTATAAGGATCCCCTGAAATCTATCCACAGACCCCTTAAGGAATCCCAGGTGAAGACCCCCTGCACTAAGTCATGGACAGTTGCCAAAGGTGAAGGAAGTTGTCATACCAGGAGTTTTCCCACATCACAAGTTTGCCTCCCACACAAAAAAAGTGGGGAGGGGAGAGGTCATAAGCATTAGAAAGATAAGAGACAGGAAGACAAAATAATTCCAGTAACTGCTCATTGTCTTCTTACCTCTTCATGTTCATTTCCACTTGAATTCTTCCTTGAGGATTTATACTGCAAAACATTTGAAAGGCAAAAATTATTTTTTCTTCTGTCATACCATGCAATTCAAAACAAATTCAATAAAATGTGAAGATTAAAGTACTCCAGAACTCTTCTTACCTTTTCTAGGCTACTTAATTTTATGACCAATACATTTATTTAGAGTTTGGTGCTTCCAAAAAGTGCAACCAGTCAAAAATAGGCTGGGTTATAGAAGTAGCTGTAACTAATTTTTTCTGAAACTAATTTTGCAATGGCTATGCCCATCTCCTAAACGAACCCAATGCTTCCTTTGGTGCCAGTGATATCATCATTCTCCATCACCCACGCTAGAGACCACACACTCATCTACAACTCCTCTCTTTCCCTTTATCCTTTAGGTCCAATTCGCGGCCTATGCCTATCAATTCTTATGTGAACTATTGCTCAGAAATGGATCTTCCCCTTCACTCCCATTCCCATGACCATATCTCAGAACCTCATTACATCAGGGCTGAGCTGCTGTAACACCCTTAAGTGGACTGCCTGATTCCAGTCTCTCCCACTACCAATTCATTCTGCAGATCACTGGCAGCTTCTAGAGAGCCAGCATGGCATAACAGAAGACTAAACTTGAAGTGATGAAGACCTAGGATCAAACCCTACCCTAGACATTCATTGTGGTTATAAATAAATCACTTAACTTCTCTGAGCCTCAGTTTCCTCACCTGTAAAAATGTAGATCATAATACCTGCAATATCAACCTCACAGGGTTGTTGTGATGCTCAAATATAATAATGCAAATCTTAAAGCACACCAGAAGCTTCAGCTTTTCTTTCTAAAGAAGCAGATTCCTTCACTATTGTCCACATAGTCATTCTTCCCTGACTATGGACGTCTGCTCAGGCTGGCGCCTCCACCTTCCCAATCCATCAATTGTTCCAAACTTGGCTATCTCTGCTTGGCGTTCCCCATGTACCCCTATCAATGCTGCTCTCCCCCTTCCTTCTCTATGGGCTGTCCCCTACCTTGGTAGCACCTGAGTACAGCCAATTTAGCGACATCCTGGATAGGGCCTTGCACTGCTCTTTGTTTCATGTTCCTTCATCTTGTTTCCCCAAGAAGACCAAGGTCCTAGAAGGCAGCAACAGTGGCTCCACCAACAACTAGCAGAGTCCAGCACACAGTAGGTGCTCCCAAAAAACAACCTGAGTGAATTGGCCTACATTTAAAATACAATAAAACCTTATTGTCAAGACATGAATAATCCAAAATATATAATAACTTCTACAAGAGCCAAGCAAACCCTTGTTTCAGAAAAGGTACAAATTAGTCGTAAGTGGGACTGCAGGGAAAAGATGCCCAAGATATTTAAAAGAACAAACTATTGTCAGCTACATAGAAAAGCACCACAGAAGCACCTATTTACAAAAACAATTTGGCTACAAACATTAAAGTAATTGGACTCTTCCAAGAAGCCAGAATTATTATTATTATTTTGTGGATAAAATCATAGGTGATGAGAGCTAAAGGTACCAAAAAGATTTTCAAACTAAAGTCTTCTCTCTACAAGAAAACAAGCTTCAGATGCTCAGAATGGCTTTCAAATGCTAATCACCACCATCAAAGCTTGGAATTGCATAACTGGTATGAAAATGCCTTTGAGGCACAAGCAGAAAATTCTGGCCTTCTGCTGTTGTTATGGTTTATACAACCCTCTGGATATAAAAATAAATAGGTAACCATTGGCTGAATTTGCATTATAAAGTGCCTATGTGAAGAAAGTGTTGTTCAGATCCTATTAGGTTCAAAATAAATGTTCAGAAGGAAAAAGATTTGGTTGCTTTAAGGAAAGCTTTTAGTATTTCAAAGGTACAGCTAGTAGCAGAGAGGGATTTTATAAAATGTAAAGTTGTATTCAATAAGTACTTTTCTTGTTAGCTATTGGTGAGGAAGGAAGAAGGAACTGAGGAGAAGTAGAGGCAGAATAAACCAGTTGGAAAGGCCCAATTTCCTGACTGGGGAAGAAATCAGATGGTGATCAGTACAGAACCATCATGTTCCTTTGAGATTTTGGTTTAAGTTTTGGTCCCTTGTAAGTAAGTAAGATGGCTTCCCTGGTAAGCATCAGGGTAAGTCCAGTAACTTAACCAGAGGAAGATTAAGGAGAAAAAGAAAGGTAAGGTTCTAATTAAGAAGTGATGATTATTGGGGGGGGGGGGACTAGATGGTGCAGTGGATAAAGCACTGGCTCTGGAGTCAGAAGTACCTGAGTTCAAATCTGGCCTCAGATACTTGACACTTACTAACTGTGTGACCCTGGGCAAGTCACTTGACTCTGACTGCCTCACCAAAAAAAAGAAGTATTGATTAGTCAAAGGGAGAGGCAGCCCCCCATTCACAAATCCCTATGCATGCATGCAGGCCCAATCTTCCTCCAGACATTGGGTATATTTGTGAGAGTGTGCCCCAGGTGGGATGGGGGGTAAGGGAGTGAGGAGAAATAATCTATTATTACTTCTCTTGCTATGCTATTTCATTAAATGCCTCTGCTTTGAAAACTGTCCTCTGGATGACTAGGGGAAAAATATTGAATATCTGTGGTAGTTCACTAGCTACGGTATTGACTGGAGGCATACTCACAGAGTACTGTGAATTTGGGGTAGCCATTCTGAAGGCCCCATAGGTGAGGGTGCATATCCCAGGTGCTATTACATCATTTTCCCAATTATAGGCATAAATGACGAGTTATCAGGTGACTAGAAAATTCAGTTAAGAGAAGGAAAAGCAATACAGTACAACAGAAAACACTGGATTTTAAGTCAGAGATCCTGGGTTCAAAAACCACCTCTGTCATTTATGAGCTGTGTGATCTCAGACACCTCACTGAATCAGGACTTCAGATTCCTCATCTTTAAATGGCAGGGAGGAAGACCAGCTGAGGTGCTTCCCAGCTCTTAACCTATGATCTTATGAATGAAGAGATCATTCACGCAACAATGTCACCTATATTCCAGCAACTATTATGCTAATTATAAAACCATTATATATTCACGCTAGTAAATATTGCATGCCTAGTCTGAATTAATTTATATACTTTAAAGAAATAAAAAGCTCTAAAATACTATGATGAGATAGATGCTAATGTTGAAAAATCTAAATCAGACTTGTCAATAATTCAGCTCCGTCCACTCCCTCTATCTGCTGTGAAATGGTAAAGCTTTTGTTTTGTAGGTTCAGATGTTATAGTAAAATGTAGGCTGACACTCTCGACATACAGTCAGGTCGACAAGCCACTCAAGCCCACATTAACTGACCTACACTACTTTATGACCCAGTTTGCTTCAGTGTATTAATCGAAAACCAATCCAAAGAATGTAAGCTTCCTTCCAGAAGAGTGTAAGCACCTGAGGAAAGGGTCTAGTGCTTATATTTTTTGTGCCATTTTTTTTGTTTTTATAATCTTTTTTTAACTTTTTTTTACTTTGAGTTCCGAATTTTCTCCCTCCCTCTACACCTCCCACACCTACTGAGAATGCAAGATATATGATACCCATTATACATGTGAAGTTATGCAAAACATACTTCCCCATCAGCCAGGTTATACAAAAAAAAGGCAAGAAAAATAAAGGAAGTTTAATAAAAAGGATGTGGAGAAGGGGAAGAGCCCTACGACCAGGGGCAGTCAGAAAAGGCTTCACTAAGGAGGTGGCATTTAAGAGGCACTTAACAAATGTTGATTGACTTGAATTGCATTATTGAAGAGCAACATCATTCTGATAAAAAAAAAAAGAAATGCATCTCAAAGTTTTCATTGCACAACAGTACATGGAACAGTGACAGGAATCACAGTATCTAGAACCAATCCCTTACAAAGAGGTCACAAGATCAAAGAGTTATAGCTACAAATATGCCTCAGTGGCCACGTAATCCAACCCTCTCGTTTTAGTGATCAGGAAATGAAGGCTCAGAAAAATGACTTTCCTCAAATCACAGCATGCCAAATAGTAGGCCAAATTTGAACTCAGCTCCTTTGACTCCAAGTTTAACACTCTTTCTATTTGTACTACAAGACTAACCAGCCTTCAAACTGCCTCAGAAAGACTGCTCTAATGTTCTTTTACACACACACACACACACACACACACACACACACACACAGAGGAATCAACCATCAGACTGACTTGAACTCCTGATCATCACCAAGTAGCAAACATTACTAGCAAAAAGGATATGCGTGTTCAGCTGGTACCTTCCCCGTTACATTGCAGTGGAAAGGGCATTCATTCTTTGAACACCTTCATACACTGCATTAAGTCCTAGGAAAGCCTGAGGCCACCCCAAACCATGTACATCATCTAGCACTACTTAATGGCGATTTCAATGCTTCCGACACTCCTTTGAAAAAGTCTATCCAACACTTGCCCACAACAGTGGCAGATTCGATCTCTTGCTGAAAACTCCCTTAGAAGAATAACTTTTATTAACGCTTGCTTGCTTAGAGATGGGGAAAATCATAAAGCCCTAGTGGCCTAGCAGGATTTATTTTGGTCAGGCAGAAAGAAGCTTCCAGATAAATTTCATCAAGTTACAGAAACAAAATAACTCCAAAAGAGATATCAGCACACTGAGTGATGCTTCCACTTAGGTCCAAATTCTCTCTTTAGAGTATGGAAACTCACTGTTTAATGAAAAACAAGTTCAGATTAAGTCCAATAAGAGATTCTGTGAAAAGTCTTCTCAATTCTCAGGAGGCTGAAGAAGAAAGAGCATGTCTACCTTTTTCTTTTCTTTGACAGAAAGGCACCGGATAACTGTAAGATATTTTAACCATGAAAAAAAAAATAGCACTTCTCAATTAATTTAGTGTAAAGCCTGTGGATTACAGGGTAAGTCTCTTTGAAACGTGCTTACAGTGACATCTTGTGACTTGTAAGGAACACTGCAAATCCCTCTGTTAACCAATAAATTTAAACACATTAAAACCTAAGTTTGGACTCCATTCACTGGGAATTTATGATAATTTGACACAAAATGAGCATGAACAAAGCCAAGTATAATCTTACAAGGTAAAAAAAAAACAGGTCTTTAAAGGAAAAGAAGACCTTCAAGCATTTTTTAGGAAAAGACAAGAGCTGAGTAGGAACTCTGAAATGCCAACACAAGAGTCAAGAGAAAACTAGAAAGGTTAATTTACTTGAGGAACTGGAGGGGATTGTATGATATTGTAGGGTTAAGATTGGGGGAGGGAGGGAGGAGAAGAGAAATAAGGGGCCCGACAAGACCTCAAAGGGTACTAAAGGACTTACAGAAGATAAACAGAGGACTGAGGGGTGCACTGGATCTCTTCTGAGGATTTTAAAGGGGGAAAATTAATCTCTCCCTCTCTGTCTCTTTCCCTTCTGCCCACTAACACATCCAAGTCTTCTCCAACTTTAAAAAAATCCTCACTTGACTTGACCATGCCCTCAAGCCATCCTCTTAATCATCTTTACATAGATTTAATTTTTTTAATTTAATAAATTAAATTAAAATTTAATTTTAAATTTAAATTTAAGATATTTACATATATTTACCATATTTACACAAACTCCTAGGGAAAAAAATTACAGCCAGGACCTCGACATCCTCTCCTCTTACTCCTCAAACCTCTGCAATCTGGCTTCAACCTCATCATTCACCAAAGCCAAAGACTTTCTTTTTTAATCTTTGTACTTCTCTACCTGAAGCACTATACACTGCTGATCACCCTCCCCTCCTCCCCTCTTGGATTCTCATTCTCTCTCTCTGTGTCTCTGTCTCTCTCTCCCTCTCTCTCTCCCTCCTCTCTCCCTCCCTCCCTCTCTCTCTCTCTCTCTCTCTCTCTC